GGTCTTCTTCGGGTATCCGCATAGCTCTTCTATCTACTTTGTACTGCCTTTCAATTCTCTCAGACTTTAGCTACTTGTTCCTCGGCTTCCTTGATCATGTCAAGGCCAAATAGGCTTCTTTCTCCGACCTCGGACCACATTAATGGTGTTTGGCATTTTCTTCCATACAAGGCTTCAAATGGTGCCATCCTCTAGCTTGCTTGGTATCTGTTGTTGTAGGAGAATTCTGCGAATGATAGGCTCTTTTCTCGATCTTTTCCATAGGTCAGTGCGCAGGCTCGTAACATGTCTTCTAATATCTAGTTCACTCTTTCTGTCTGTCCGTCAGTTTATGGATGATAGGCTGAGCTATAATCTAGGCGTGTTCCTAAAGCTTTATGTAAGGTTTTTCAAAATCAGGCGGTGAATTAAGTCCCTCTATCTGAGACTATTCGGCTTGGTACCCCATGTAATCTAAGGATGTTGTTAATGTATAGTTGTGCTAGCTCGTTACCCTTGTAATCAGTCCTTACCGGAATAAAGTGTGCCACTTTGGTCAATCGGTCTACTATAACCCATATTGAGTCATGTCCATTTGGTGTCTTGAGCAATCCCACTATAAAGTCCATTTTGATTTTGTCCCATTTCCATACTGGAATGTGCAATGGCTGAAGTAATCCTACTGGTCATTGATGTTCTGCCTTGACTTGTCTACACGTATCGCATCGGGCGACGTATTCTGCGATATCTCCTTTCATTCTGGTCCACTAGTATCTTTGCTTGAGGTCCATGTACATCTTGATTGATCATGGGTGAATAGAGTAGGTTGAATGGTGTGTTTCGTCCAATATTAACCTTCAGAGTGCCTCATCCTTTGGTATGCATATTCGATCTTCATACCATAACCTCCCTTGCTTGTCGACCCTAAATCCTGGAAGTTCCTTCTTACTACTTTTCTCCTTGGATTGTTGTATTTCTTCATCCTTTTCTTAGGCTTGCTTAATCCGATCTTCCAAGGTTGGTTGTATGTGTAGGACATTTAGGATACCTTGTGGTACAATTTGCAGATTTAGTTGGTGAACTTCTGGTGCTAACTCTGGTCTTCGGTTTAAGGTCGTCATGTGGTGACAATATGCTTTTCTACTTAATGCGTCTACAACTACATTGGCTTTTCCCGGATGGTACTATACACTTAGATCATAATCCTTGATCAACTTCAACCATCTTATTTGTCGTAGGTTCAGATCAAGCTGAGTGAATATATACTTCAAACTCTTGTGGTCTGTGAATATGTTATATTTGTTTCCAATAAGATAGTGTCTCCATATCTTCAATGCGAGCACTACGGCTGCTAGTTCAAAATCATGTGTTGGATAATTTTCCTCGTGTTTCTTCAGTTGTCGGGAGGCGTAGGCTACTACTTTATCATCTTGTATCTGGACACATCCTAATCCTTGTCGTGAGGCATTGCAGTATATTATAAAATTTCTGTGTATGTCTCGGTAGCATGAGTATTGGGGCTATGGTTAACCGAATCTTCAACTCTTGAAAACTCTTCTTGCATGCTTTCGTCCACTTGAATTCTGATACGGCCTTAACCATCTCTAGGTCTACCTTTACTCCTTCTGTGGTGATGATATGTCCTAGAAAGGTGACTTCTTTTAGCCAAAATTCACATTTGCTGAACTTGGTATATAGCTCATGTGCTCGTAGCTTGTTCAATATTACTCTTCAAATGTTGCTCATGTTCTTCAGCACTTCTTGAATAGATGAGGATGTTGTTGATAAACATTACCATGAATTTATCCAATTCCTCCATAAATACCTTGTTCATCAGATTCATGAAATATGCTGGGCCATTGGTTAGTCCAAACGGCATTACAGTGAACTTATATTGTCCATAGCAGGTCACGAATGCGGTCTTCGGTATGTCGCTGAGCCGAATCTTTAGTTGATAGTAGCCTGATCTTAGATCTATCTTGGAGAAATACTTAGCATCTTTTAGCTGATCAAATAGGTCCACAATTCTTGGTAGAGGGTACTTGTTCTTGATGGTAACTTCATTTAGGGACCGGTAATCGATACACATTCGGAGGCTGCCATCCTTCTTCTTTACGAACAAAACTGGTGATCCCCAGGGTGATGAACTTGGTCTGATGTACCCTTTCTTATGTAATTCTCATAATTTCTACTTTAATTCTTTCAACTCATTGGCTGCCATTCGGTATGGTCTCTTTGTAATTGGTGCGGTTTTGGGTATTAGGTCAATTATAAATTCCAAGTCTCTGTCAGGTGGCATTCCGGGTAAGTCTTCAAGGAACACATTGGGGTTTTTGCATACGACTGGTACTTCTTCAATGCTTGCTGCCTGTATACTGTAAACCATTGGTTCTGCTTTGGGGGATTGAGGGTGACATTCTACCTTTATTCCATTGTGATTTATCAGGGTTACTACTCTGTTGCTACATGTGATAGTGCCATGGTGTCTCTTTAACCAATCCATTCCAAGTATTATGTCTAAACCTTCTGTCTTAAGTACTACCAAATCTGCTTGAAATTCTACTCCATCGATTATTATCTTCACTCGAGGGCACTTGAGGACAACTCTAGGGGTTTGAATCAAGAGAGGGGTGGAGAGTAACACTGTTCTTAAACTATTTCTAAGTACAAAACAAGCAGAAACAAACGAATGCGAAGCACCAGAATCAAACAACATGGCTGCAAGAGTGGAGTTTACTAGCAACTCACCGTACACGACATTAGGTGTTGCCTATACTTCCTCTGCGTTTACGTGGTTCACACGCCCTTGCCCAAAATTCGGGGCATTCATTCTTGGTGGTCCAGAGTTCTGAGGTGCTGTGCGTCCAATTCCTGAGGTGGCTGTCTTATTACTGGCTATAGACTGAACAGGGGCAAAGTTTGCGGCTTTAAGAGGGCATTAGACTACGCGGTGTCCTAGTTGTCGGCATCCAAAACAAGTCTCTATTGTTGTATTATTGGTATTCTTGGGTTGGTTGTTGTTGTTGTTGTTGCTGCTGCTGTTGTTCTTGTAGTTGGATGTGGTCTGCGAAGTGTTGGGTCTGGATGTCCTATACTGCATGGTCGATTGGTACCTCGTCGGTGTGGTGTTGTGGGTGTGGACTCGTTGTCTTCTTTCTTGTTGTCGAGCACATTGTATCAGGAACTTGCGCTTCCGTTCTCCTTCGCCTCTGACACGTTCTTCTTCTAGTAGAATAGTGCGGTTCATCAACGTGTTGAAATCAGGATAGATGCATGTCACCATTTGTTCTCTTAGGGATGCGTTGAGTCCTCTCCTGAAACACTTATGCTTCTTCTTGTCGGAGTTAACATCTTCTGGTGCATAGCATGCTATCTTCATAAACTTCCTGATGTACTGATTCTCCGTCATCGATCCTTGTCTTAGGGAACGAATTTTTTTTGCTTTTATCTCCATGATTCCTTCGGGATGTGATATTCATGAAATTTATCCACAAATTCTTGCCATGTGATAGCTTCTGGCTCGTTATCTACATCCTGGTAGTTTTCCCACCATTCACCAGCGGCTCCTACCAGTTGGTGGGTGGCTAGAATAACTTTTTCTTCGTCGGTGGCTCGCACTGCATTTAATTTCTTGGTGATGGTACGTAACCAATCATCTACTAACAATGGGTCATCTTTTGCACTATCAAATATTGATGGGTGAAGCCTCATGAATGCTGCCATTTTCCCTTGTCCATTACCGTTATCCTGTCTTCTTGCAAGATTTTCCAATAATCGAGCCTATCGATCCATTACTTCTGCCAATGTTGGCGGGGGTGTGGGGGTTCCTCCCCTTGTACCGGGTCATTCCCAACATTTTGCTCAACTTCTTCACCTTCTTCATGTACTTCTTCTACAATTGGGATATTATCTTCTTGTAGTTGCTCATGCCTGTTGATGGTCACTAAACACCTACTTTGACCATCAATATTCCACCCAAATCAAGGTAAAAACAGCATCACATGTGCCATATTATGTTTATAATTCACCTAGTTTCACTTGTACATGAAAAAATTATTTGTATGTAGGGAAAATCACAAAAATGGACAAATATAAACCCTAGGAGGCAAGTGGACGTGGCAGGGGGCCGCGGGCCCATAGTGCCCCATCGGCCGACCGTGACCACCGTCGGCTGACGGCCCCACCCCCCTTGCCACGTCACTGATCCACGTGAAAGCCTCCTCACTGCTTCTCCAGCGTTGATCCATGGCGGTTTGATCCAAAGGTGCACGTTGAGCTGCCTTGGATCCACGGGCCCGTTGTCATACACTTGGAGGGGGCCAAACCGACCTCCAAACCGCCTTCCAGACCACAGCAACCGACTTACCTGCAAGCAACCACCATCCAGAGGCCATCCATCGCCATTTGATGGTGAGGCGGTGGAATGGATGGTCGCCCGACGGCCCCTTGATGTCACCCGATGGCTAAGTCACCCAAACCGCCTCATCTTCGTCTGCAAGTACCCCCATGCCCTCTACACACTATAAAAGGGGCTATGTTGCTCGGTGGAGATCATCACTCAGCAGCTCTCAAGCATTCCAAGTTGTTCCAAGCTCTCAAAAGCTCTCCAAGAGTAGTAGCTTAGAAGTAGTAGGTAGCTAGTACTGATAAGAGTGGAGCAGAGCTCGCCTCAGAATCTAGAAGAGTCTTCTGGTCTAGTATAGCTCCTCTTGTAATCTTTCTTTTAGCATTTACTTTATTCAGTACTTTACTTTGTCAAGTACTTTATTCACTAATATAGCTTTGCTTAGTTCAAGTCATGTCTTACTATTGTCTATTATTAGTGAGCCTAGGTGCTTGTCCTTTGGCATTTGCATCATTATCTTAGTGTTTAGTTCGTTCATCATTAGTACTTGTCCTATCGTCTGATTATGGTGTTTCGATCTTATTTCACCAGAGCTCAGATCGAAACAACGAGTTTATAGATAAGCTGGTCTGTGCACCGCCCTAGGCTCATCTTTGGGTTCACCCCTCGGAGCACCATGAACATAATCTGCAGCCTCTGCGCGTACATGGCCATCTGCGGCACGGAGCGCGCTGTGCTTCTGTGGCCGGGGTCCCGTGGCACTTGGGAGGGGTTCGACAACGCCTCCGATGCGGACCTCGTGGTGGAGCAGCAGATTTGGGCGGCGGTAGACCCTATGGCCAAGAACGAGGCGTTCAACTGCAGCAACGGGGATGTGTACACGTGGAAACAGCTGTGGCCGATACTTGCCGGACGGTTTGGGTTGGAGTGGGTGGGGTACGATGGAGAGGAGAACCGGTTCAAGCTCATGGATGCCATGGCCAGGAAGGAGGCTGTCTGGGCAGAGATCGTCAGGGGGAAGGAGCTGGTGGAGACGCAACTCAACGAGGTCGCCAGTTGGTGGCTCGTCGATGCCCAGTTCTATCAGTTTGGAGCTAACTGGGCGTTCCTGGACAGCATGAACAAGAGCAAGGAGCACGGGTTCCTCGGCTTCTGGAACACGGTCAAGTCCTTCGCCAGTCGCCACATGGATCGACAGGCTAAAGGCGTACAAGATTGTTCCTTGATGCCTTTCATTTACCTGTTCCTTGTGGTTCTCCGTCCTGATGCTGTATTATACATCACGTCAAGTGATTAACATCTTTTACCTATCGTTGTTGATTTACCTGTCAGAAATCTTGTTTTACTACTGTAGTACTGTACAGAGCTTCAAGCAAAATTTATATACATACAGAAGCACACAGATTTGACATAAGACTTGTGAACTAAGAGCAACAACTATCTATGATTCACCCATTCATCTCTAACAGTCAAATTAAAATCATAAAAAGAGCATGACCAATCTAAAAATTATCTCTAAAATAAAAAAATAGAAAATAGAAAGGTGGACCAAAAAATTTATCTCAAAACAACAAAAGAAATCATCCAAAAAAAACCCTGCAAAAATACAGATTACAAGTCTGAAATGTGCTGGACAAGCTCCATTTAACCAATCCAGCAAGGAACATCTGGATATAAACAACTTATCATGCTGGTTCATGTTGAATACAGGCAGCACACATATGTACTTTTATTTACACCAATTCTTCTTTCATATGTACTAGCAAGGAGGTACGCACTCCTAGCAGATATAGCATAGGAGCTTAAAAAAATATGAAATTAGTCGGGTTAAAAATTATTCAAGGCACATTAGGGTAAAATGAAACCCACAAGTACTTGATGCAAATATCAGGTAATCAAGAAAAGAATGCACATCATATAATTCTATTTTGGAATAGAATGAGCTGCAACTCTGCTGATAAATATAGCCATGTATGTGGGAGCATTCAACAGTTGAACAGTAAACATACAAATTCAGTAAAAAGGTGCTCAGTTGTCAAGTGTGGTTGAACAATAAATTATTTACTATACGAAAAGACAAAGACATACTTCGATTCTGAAACAAGTTCGACATTCTCTTTCACAATCTTTTTGAAGCATTCTATGTGATAAAACAGAAAATTCAGAGTCTTTTTGAAGCTTTCTATGTGACAATTTTCGACATGAACAAAACTGAATCGAGCTAGCACAGACATCCAAGATTGAATAGAGTTATTGCAAATGTACTTCCCCATGAAAAATGACTGGAATCCATTTTTTGCACCACACAGATTATAGCATTCACCTTCTTGGGCTCTGCACACCAGATAAGAAAGAACCATATCAAATCGAGCAGGTTAAAGGATAGGACAAGACGAGACATGAGTGGATACAGATCGTGGAAATCAGGTAAAGAACACGAGCTGTCGTCCTCCATAACTCTACTACTCCTACTCTAGGCCGGTGCAGGAGCAGTTACCACCGTGTCGATCTGACTCCAACACTAATATAAATAAAGAGGGCCCTCTAGATAATGGCTAACGTTTTGCATGCAGACATATTAAAAACCTTATATTATAAAAAATAAAATAAAAAACTAAACAAAACTATAGACACCCATCCTTCTCGTCCACCTAACGCAGTAACGTTGAAGGATGATATTATCAAGCAACACGTGATGTATTCAGTGGCCCTTTTGTTTTGATAATGTATTCACTATTCAGTGGCCCTTGAGTTTTGCATCCGGGAAGGCTGGCCAATTTTTGCTCCTTTGATAATCAGGGCAACCGGTCCGTACCCTCCGTGTTGCCTCTCTGGGCGACGGGAGGGCAACAGTCGCTGCTAGCCCAAGCTCCCCCGACATAGCCCCTCCCCGGCCTTTGTTGCTGTCATCTGGCGCGCGCGGTGACGGCGGCCCGCAGCTGCTCCAGAAACCTGGTGCGCTACGACCTCCCTCTCTCCTCCACAAGCTCCTCGATCTTCTGCCTCCCCATCCCTTTCCCCTTCGTCTCCGGCGACCGTCGGGCGGCTGCGGGGTGGATCCGAGCTCCCCGGTCTCGGATCTGCCAGCATTGGACTGCATGGTGCAGTTGTGGTCGGTCGCCCTTTGGCCTGTGCGGCGCTCTCCATTGCCGGCCAACCTGCAGGGTGCGGCGGCACTTCCCTCTTCGTCTCCGGCGTCTGTCGGCTAGCTGTAGGGTGGATCCGGGCCTCGCAGCCCCGGATCTGAAGGGTGCGGCGGTGGCTCCTTGGGCCCAGATCCACCATCCCTATGTGGCGGTGGCCAGCGTGTGTCCCGACGGTCCTAGCAGCGGCCGTCACCTCTACCCCAGGCTCATAACTGTGGGTGTCTCAAGTTACCGATTAGTTAGCAGGCCATGTGGTTCGCAATACATCAGCTAACGAAGGCTCGAATGATCTAGGCTCAGCTGAGCCCAGCGAACCAGGCCAAACGCCAAGGCCAGGGTCAGCCATGAACCCTTCCTTCTATCCTCGCCGCGTGGCGAACAAAGACTCGTGACCTGTTCATCATCCTAACCCTCGGGAGGAATGGAAAGAGGTCAAGCCCAGCCAAGCATGCCTGCCCCTGACAAGGATAAGCACGCCGCACTAACCCCGCAAGGACCGAGGGGACATCAGACACCTTGGTCCGGTCAGACGCCACCTCTGCGCCACGCAGCTCAGACAAGACAATACCATTCAAAGTGGTGACAACTGGTACGATGACCATCAGCCAGATAGGCCCGACAAGACAAATGTACGATCCTACCCACCATAGGATAGGATCCACGATGAGGGCCTTGACTTAGAGGCCGACCAAACCGATGAGAGCCATGACACCAACGATCGGGATCATGGCCCTCAGCTCCTCCTGCCAACAGGACGACCGATGACCTAGGGGCGGCTACCAACTCTCTGTACGACGCCCTATGGAAATCAGGAGGCGATGACGAAGACCACAACGAGGATCATGTCACACAGGACGGCTGGCGAACCACCACCGTGCCTACAGCGCCGCCACGGCCGGCATAGTAGCACCATGGCCACAGAACCATAATGACAACCACGCCCGAACGTGCACCACAAGACGGCATAGCTTGCAAGCCAAGTTAGCTAGGACCTTCCTCAGGCTCATGATCCTTCGGTCGGGGGAACCTCCTCCTTTGTACGCGCCCTGGCCCCAAACTCTATATAAGGGCAGCCAGGGCACCCATCTTGACATTCTAATCCTCTACCATTTTACTCATTCTCCATCATAGTAGGGCTCCTGGAGCTTCTCTTCAGGCAGTCCTTCTCATAGCTCTAGCTCTCGAGCCTCTTCCACCATTCGTGCACCCCCCCATTGTAAGAACTTCAAAGCATTCAAGCGAGGAACACACACTCAATCATCTTGGAGACTAGACATAGCGCTCTGACCTAAACAGTATAAATCCTCATGTCTTTTGGATGCTACCATCATCTTCCTAGAGCAGCGCGGCACTCATAAAAGTTTACTAGTCCAGTTTACAAAACACCAACAGTTGGCGCGCCAGGTAGGGGACAGTCGCGCACTCTTGTTGTTGAGAAGGAAGCGATGGCTCCCTGCACTTACGTCGGACTTGCTCTTGGTGCAGCCCCCGGCGGCCGCATCCGCTTCAGAAGCCTCTAGTTCACCGACATCGACGGGTTAGCTCCTATTAATGGTCTTCTCCCTGGCCAAGCCCTGCACTTCGGGGACCTAGACTTCATGGCTGACCGCCTGGGTCAGCTATGGTTGGGCGAAGAGAATGTGGCTCTGCCGCACATCTCGATGCCTAATCACGGACCGGCTCGAGCCAGACCGGTTATCGTCGACTCTGATGTGCTAGCATGTAGAATCGATGCCTATCTCAGGGCGAATCCTGAGCCAGAGCTGAGCCGACGCATTTTCTACATGTTGGCGAACGCTTTTGCCCAACTCTCTGGAAGCGGGCCCCTACTGCCAGAGGCCAAATTCTGGAACCCCAGCACCGCACTGGCCTCTGAAATGAGGGACACGATCACACTCTTTGAGCGAGAGCTAGCCAGGCGTGATGGCCGATCAACGACGTTGGAATCCTCCGTGTTTGTGGGGATGATGGAGCGGGATCCAGAGTCCATCTACGAGCTCCTGCTGGCAACCCCTGAGAATACAGACTCTGAGTCTGATTCCGAGGGGAGCTGCCATCTGCTAAGAGAATGCAACATATTGTACCTCATGGAGGATGGCGCAACCCCAGCGGAGGATGCCGAGGATGACCCCTATCCAATTCCACGCATCCCCGGGGAATAGGACGAGTACCACCAAGAGCGCCTGGAACAAGCTAGGGCCCGTAAAGCTATTCAGGCCGACGAACGCCGCGACGACAGATGCCCTAGCCCACAACACCTCAACGCTGAAGGCACTCGGCGCGGGCACACCATGTGCACGATCAAATCCAATAGGGTAGGAGGGATACACCCGTCTTCCCTTGAGCCAGCCAAAACGTCGTAGCGACCACCATGATCATGTGGACGAGCCCTGATCCCTCGACCGAAGAGGGAAAGCGCATCCATCAGGAGCTGCGAGAGCTACTGGAAACTATGGTGGTGCAGTAGGCTCAAAGCTCCGCAAAGAGGCGACATCCCGAGGCTAGCTTCGTACACATCTCCTGGTACGTGGTGCTCCCAAGGGGCAGCACACACCAAGCATGCTCCGGCCAGCGGCGGCGGTGCGACACATGGGCGGGAAGCCTCCCCAGCGTGCAGTCATAACATCGAAAACCACAATGCCCATCCAACTCAAGATGCCAGGCGCCTCGAGCCAGACTAGGACGGGCAAAGATCAACTACATTATGGTGATAGCGACCCGGACAACCGTGGCCAGCATCCTAGGGTTCGGGACGCTCGACGCGGCCCAAGCTCGAACGCTTGTGGCCCGCAGGCGTTCACAAAAAGGATTCAGCAGACGCCATTCTCGGCGTGCTTCTGTGCGCTGCCAGACATCATCAAGTTCTCTGGGGACACCAACCTCATTGTGTGGTTGGAAGACTTTCGCCTCGCCTGTCGAGCAGGCGGGGTAGACGACGATCTCTTCATCATCCAATACTTGACGCTCTACCTTGCGGAAAGCGCCCGAGCATGGCTCGAGCATCTTCCCATGAACATCATCCACTCATGGGTAGACTTCAAGCGTATCTTCATAGGGAACTTTTAGGGCACGTACGTGCGCCCCTAGAAATTTATGGGATCTTAGGGCCTGCAAACAGAAAGTGGGAGAGACTCTACGCGAGTACATCCAT